TTTCCATAGCTCGAAGTGAGCCTCGCAGCCCAGGAACAACTCGCAGAGAGCAACATAGCCGGCGATATGTAGAATGGAGGCAGGGGTGAAATTGTGTAATTGGAGGCCGTAGAACTCCAGGAGCCCGCGGAGGAACAGATGAATTGGAAATCCGAGTCCCCTTAATAAATAAGGAACAAGGCAGACCCGCTCCCCCATAGAGGGACTAGGAAAGCTCTCCGCTTGCTCCCCGCCATTGTAGGTGGCAAGCCCGGCTCGAACAGGCACCATGTATGCTGGACGGAGAAATCCCTTAGTCTGAAGTTCGATTAATCGACTGTGTGGGACTGAACACCTCTCCCAATCACCGGGCTTAGGGCTACGGGGGCGGGAGGAGGAGCTGCGGAGGTCGGCCATGCTGGAATGGATCTTTCCGAAGCACGCTCTGATGGATTCTCGCTGGGGGAGGATGGTGTGGATCGGATCTGAGAATCCCCATCCTTTTAATAGACAATTTATTTATCTGGCTAGGGGGGCGAATGTAAAAACGCCCTAGCGCCTCGTATTCATTCGACGCGTGGAAAATAGCCCTTATTGGGCACAGAAGCCAAGAGGTCCAAACATTTATGTGGCCGGACACTGTTTACAAATGTTCGAAATATGGAGAAGAACCCTCCCTGCAATGCCGAAGACAACACTGCGCGCCGGACTCGTCGTCATTGAAGCCTGATTCGGGGGCTACTGAGGGAGCCCTGGATTAGGGGGTATCCGGACAGCCGGATTATATCCTTTGGCCGGACTGTTGGACTATGAAGATACAAGATTGAAGACTTCGTCCCGTGTCCGGATAGGACTCTACTTAGCGTGGAAGGCAAGCTAGGCAATACGGATTTGTATATCTCCTCCTTTGTAACCGACTTTGTGTAACCCTAGCCCCCTCCGGTGTCTATATAAACCGGAGGGTTTTAGTCCATAGGACAACATACAATCATAGCATAGGCTAGCTTCTAGGGTTTAGCCTCTCCGATCTCGTGGTAGATCAACTCTTGTAATACTCATATCATCAAGAATAAATCAAGCAGGACGTAGGGTTTTACCTCCATCAAAAGGGTCCGAACCTGGGTAAAACATCGTGTCCCCTGCCTCCTGTTACCATCCGCCTTAGACGCATAGTTCGGGACCCCCTACCCGAGATCCGCCGGTTTTGACACCGACAACCACCCTGCCCCATATCTTCCTTTTTCGTCATCGCGGCCAAAGTCACCCCCATTGTTCACGTTGTAGCGTCAATGCACTCCTAACAGACCTTTCCCCGGACAGATCGAAGAATTATTATTATACTTTTTGTAGGAAAACTTTTGATATATTCGTCTCCAATCATGGCAGGACAAAGAACACCAGAAATAATAAAAAATATATTTACATTCATGGACCATCTAGCGACGACTACAAGAATTGAAGCGAGCTGAAGGCGTGCTGCCATTATCGCCCCTCTCTCATCGAAACTGGGCAAAACTTGTTGCACGACAGTCGGAAAGTCGTCGTGCTAAGGTCCCATAAGACTAGCGCACCAGAACAACAACCGTCACCAATGAAGAGTAGCGTACATCGAAAGAATCCAACCTGAAAATACACGAACATAGATGAACAACGAACTGATCCGAGTGGATCCACCAAAGATAAATCCGCCGGAGACACATCTCCACACGCCCACCAACAATACTAGATGCACCACCGAAATGTGGGCTATGCGAGGAGAATCTTGTTCCATCTTCACGGAGCCGCCATCATCTCGTCTTTCTGATAAGACAAATATTCTAACAAAACACAAAGTAACATCTAAAAACGAAGCCACCATCGCGTCTCCATGACTCTAAGGCAGCCGGGGACGAAGCGGACCGGGCGGCGGTGCCGGTGGAGGCGAAGAAAACCTTAGCTCGGGAGAGGAGGCGGCAGCTACTACTGTTGTTGCTTTGGCATGTGAAGAGGAATTAAAAAAGTCATATCTAACTCCTACGCTGTTTGATTAACCAAACAAAAATATAAAAGAAAAGTCCCGATGAATCTTCGCGTATTTCCCATCTAGACGAGAGCCATACGCACCCATGAGCTATTGGAGTGCCATGTCTCCACCCTTTCCAAATCATATTTCCCTTCGTTAGTTTCCTGGCGTGGTATCTTCGACAGATATTGACTGACAAGTGACAGGTTCTGTTACGCATGCCTCCAAATCAATCAGCCGGAGCTAAACTGCACGATCGACCCTCGCAACAAGAAAATACAGCGATTACGACAAAGCATGGACACAAGCATGCCCCTAATTTTGTCCCGACCATGCTCGGGATGACAGCAACCGCTTCTTAAATCGCCCAAGAGATGCTCGCACCCGTGGATTGTTCTCCTACCTGCTGCTTGTTCCGATCTGGGAGGGTCCGCCGCCGAGCGATAGAAAAATGGGGCGCGGATAGAAGTGACAAGGCGGAGGTATTTTTACTCTGAGATTTGGCCCCGTCCTCCGACGGCCACGGCTGCTTCCGATGTCGCCTTCTACCCTTCTCCCTGGTCTTGTATGAACCTATAGTTTATTATGGTATGATGACAATGGAGGCGCCGCAGTTAGCGAATATGAAACTCGCCTGGCATGTCGAGTGTCCACAGTGACTGATCACCAAATCAGTCCACTCCATGGCTTAGCTCCTGTTTTGTTAGCGAGTGCCCGTTTGGTTGGAGGCTATACCTTTGCCACGCCTAACAAAGTTTGGCAAACCTACACCCTAAGCTTGTAAAAGTTTGTATTCCCCGCGATTACTCTTTGTCTCTTTGTACAGCTTTATACTTAGAGTGCGTCAATTAATATTGATCAGAGAAAGTATTTTCTTTCTTGGTCGTCGTCCTTGTGGCCTTTTTATCGCACTTCACACTTTTTTTCAACAAATGATGAATTTTATTGACTTAAAACGAGGCATCAAGACACACAACTAACACCAACACATAGAAAAAAAGTCAGCAACTAGCAAAGTCATATAAGACCAAAATTATTCATGTATGAGGAAAAAAGAAAATAAATCTCAAGGCAATAGATCGGCGATCTGCAAACTGTAGTAATAATCATATCCGCATCAACCATCTCATGACTTCATATGAATGGCGAAGGTTTTCAACAGCAACCCCCTCATAAAGGGAGCGACACTAGCATAGCCGCCGTCACCTTCAAAAATTAGTCCGAGCATATTCAGACAATGCTTTCAAGAAGGTAACCATCTCCCCTAAAAAAAGTAGGTAACCATGAAAAAAAATGGTCTCCATTGCCAATTATAACCAATTCGGGTCAAACCTAAGATTTCACCCCTTAGCTCTAGACTGAGTGCACGTAGCATCCTCATTGAAGTCACTCATGTGTTGCCTCCATCAGTTTTGTGTGAGTCCAACAGCTACATGTGATGTGCAGCTGCCGCCACTGTACAATCATCACTGCCGCGTCAAGCCTTCGACTATAGTTTGAATCTCACCGCTGAAGTCAACCATCATATCAGGAGAGATAAACCCTCTCTAAAGACCTTACGATGATCACCGCCGCCGTGGAGCCGTAGGCGGTCGTTGTAGCATAGTCTGCAACACCACCATCTGGGCAACCGGGTCTGGATCACCATCACCACCATCCAAGGCTGATGCACCGACGTGGAGAGAAGCATGCCCCGCCATGGAGCCCCGCAACAACCGAATCGGGGAAGCTAGATCTGGCCGAGAACGACCCGACCCAGCCGTCCCACGCAACACCTCACAACCAGCCACGTGTGCACCCTCCACCAGCAGAGCATCACCCCCCCCCCTCCCGCCTCAGTGCATTGTCGATGACACACAAGGCAGCCATGCTAGCAGCCGCCGGTCACCACAG